GAGGCTGGACGTCAGAGATTTCGAATTTATACAGTGTGGAAACTAACAAAATAAGAATACTCAAAGGGAAATTGTCTTTAAATCATTAAAAATATCGGTGTATATCGGTGCATCAGTACGTATATATATGCATGTCTGCGTGGTGCATGCCTATGTCTAAATAGATAATGAAAATATAGATATTGGTGAATAGATAAATATATCTTTAGGTGAATAGCTGAATAGATGCAGACCAATATATAGAGGAATAAATATTTAAACCAATAGATAGATAGCTAAATATATAGATAGAGATACACGTATATATGCTACGAACGTATTCAACAAGCCTGGGTTATATTCATTCGACCTTGAAATGAAATATTGGCTTTCCCACTTTGCTTAATCTTACCCTAACCCATTCATTCATCGCCTCATTTACCCTGTCCAATAGCAAGGTCTGTAAGTACTTATATACCCTGTCCAATACTATCCTAGACTGTTGACGTATAGTAACTAATCACTAACTCTAACTCCCCTTTCTAATATTATATACCTTTACTATTACTATATTTTTCTCCTTAGATATATAGGTTAATTATTTTGCAAGCGAATCAGAGAGGTAATCGAGAAGATACGGTACAGCATTTACATGCAATTTTTCAACATAATATCTTGTGATTAAATCTATTCCTCTTGTAATGAAATATTGCACTGCGTACAAGAGCCCGTGAGTATGGGCGTGTATCTGTGTATAAAGGATAAGGGAAAAAGTATGTTATATTTATAATTCTACGTAGATTTCTTTGCGTGTGAATGTGTGTGTGCGTTTGTCGATGAATGTTTGTGTGCGTGTTTATCTGTGAATTGTGTGTGTGTGTGTGTGTGTATGTACGCGCGTTTGGATATGTATGTGCATATATATGTACATGGTTACCTGCGCGTGTGAGAGAGAAATTAAGAAAATAGGGAAAGTTAAGTAAAACGAAAAACAATATTTCTTGAACAATGTTTCTTTTCATGATATTTTCTTATCGCGATCCAATACTATTAAGCAATATCATCTTTATGAAGAACCATTTTCACTTTTCTTTATCCTTATTTAATCACTTTTTTTCGTTTCAGAAAATTACGGAGAGCAGTATGGCCTCATCGGTGAAGATCACCGTCAACGGCCAGGAGTATGAAGGTGGGGTTGTTATTTCTGTTGTTGTTGTTCTTGTTTTTTGTTATCTTCATTTTCATTGTTTTTATTCTCATTATTATTTTTATCATTATCATTAGTAGTAGTAGTGGTAGTAGTAACAGTAATGGTATCAATATCATTATTATTGTTGTTGTTATTATTATTGTTATTATTATTGTTATTATTATTATTATTATTATTATTATTATTATTATTATTATTATTATTATTATTACTTTGATATTACCAGTCACAGCCACACACACACACACACACACACACACACACACACACACACACACACACACACACACACACACACACACACACACATTATATATAGAGAGAGAGATAGATAGATAGATATTTATTTATTTATTTATTTATTTATTTATATATCATTATCATTATTATACTGTTATTATTATCATTCATACTTTTCATCTTTTCTTATTATTTATATTTCCCCCATTTTTATTCATCTCTTTCTTATTACCATTTGCAGTCGACCCGGCCACGCCCCCCAGCACTCGCCTGGTGGACTTCCTGCACGAGAAGAACCTCAGCGGCACTCACGTGACATGTTACCAGGGCGGCTGCGGGGCCTGTACTGTCGTGGCGTCGTTCGCGGACCCCGACACGGGCGCCAAAAACACGCATTCGATCAACAGCGTATGTCTTATCTTTTCTTTTCTTTTCTTTTCTTTTGTATTTTTAGTGGTGTGAATAAGAGAGAGTTTGATAAAAGATAGAGATTATATATTTTTTTAAGAAATGAGAAATGTCGTTCGTGATCTCCGACACTGGCGCCGAAAACACGCATTCGATCAACAGCGTATGTCTTCTCTTCTCTTCTTTTTCTTTTCTTTTTTTCTAGTGGTGTGAATAAGAGAAATTTTGATAAAACACATAATTTTTTTTAAACTAATGAGAAATATCGTTCGTGGATCCCGACACTGGCTCCAAAAACACGCATTCAATCAACAGCGTATGTTCTTTTTATTTTAGTTTAGTTTATTGGCGTAAATAAGAGATTTTGATAAAAGACAGAGATTGTTATTTCTTAAGAAATGAGAAATGCCGTGGTGTGAATAAGTGATTTTGCTAAAAGAAATGAGAAATGTCCTTCGTGAACCCCGACTCAGGCGCCAAAAACACGCATTCGATCAACAGCGTGTCTTTTGTTTTTGCTTTTTTCACGGAGATATAAATGTTAGATGTGACTTTAAAAAATGAATTTAAGTTAGAGATGAAAAAAATAAGATCGTACTGGAAGAGAGAGTGAGAGTGAGGAAAAGGTCATATATATAAGTTGAGGTGATTGTGTGTATGTGTGTGTGTGTGTAATGCACGTAACGTGCCCTTTATACATACTCCAAAATCCAACACCCAGTACCCATTTTCCTTTTTTTTCTTCCTCCAATGCTTTGCCGTTTTCCTTTTTTATATCTTTGTTTTTCTTTCCAATGCCTTTGTTTTTCCTTTTTTTATTTCTTTCTCTCTCCCTCCAGTACCTTACCGTTTTCTTTTTTTTTATCCTTGTTTCTCCTTCCAACGCCTTTCTCTCTCTCTCTCTCTCTCTCTCTCTCTCTCTCTCTCTCTCTCTCTCTCTCTCTCTCTCTCTCTCTCTCTCTCTCCCTCCTTGCAGTGCCACGCCGTTTTCCATTTTTCTCTCTCTCTCTCTCTCTCTCTCTCTGTCTCTCTCTCTCTCTCTCTCTCTCTCTCTCTCTCTCTCTCTCTCTCTCTCTCTCTCTCTCTCTCTCTCTCTCCTTGCAGTGCCACGCCGTTTTCCATTTTTATATCCTTGTTTCTCCTTCCAACGCCTTTGTTTTTCCCTTTTTAATTACTTTATCTCTCCTTCCAGTGCCTCGCCCCCCTCCTCGGTTGCAACGGCTGGGAAATCACGACGGTAGAAGGCTTGGGAAATCGTTACGACGGTTACCACGTGATTCAAGAGCGACTGGCGGAGTATTCGGGTACCCAGTGTGGTTACTGTTCGCCGGGGATGGTTATGAATATGTATGGGTAAGTGTGCGTAGAGATTTTTTTTTTCGGTGGGGGGAGGGGGAGGGATGTTGAAGGTTTTTGGTATGAATTTCTACCTTTTTTCAAGTCGTCTTCTTTTCTTTTTTTTCAAGTCTTTCTATCTCGCTTCGTCTTTTTCTTTTCTCTTTTCTCTTTTTTTTTGTCACTCCGGCATACTCTCATATATTTCACTCTTTTTTTTGTGTGTTCTCATTTCTCTCTCTCTCTCTCTCTCTCTCTCTCTCTCTCTCTCTCTCTCTCTCTCTCTCTCTCTCTCTCTCTCTCTCTCTCTCTCTGTATCTCTCTCTCTCTCTCTCTCTCCCTCTCCCCTCTCCCTCCCTCTCCCTCTCTCCCCTCTCCCTCCCCTCTCCCTCCCTCTCTCTCCCTTCCCCCTCCCTCTCCCTCCCTCCCTCCTACCCTCCCTCCCTCCCTCCCTCCCTCCCCTTCCCTCCTTCCCTCCCTCCCTCTCTCACCCTCCCTCTCTCTCCCTCTCCCTCCCTCCCTCTCCCTCTCAAGTATTCACTTCATATCTCTTATCAATATCGTAAACTCCTCCCGACACATTATATTATCAGCAAGTTAAATTTATAATCCAAGTGAATTTATAATCTAACTAATCCAAGTCGCCTCTATCGTACTGATTACTGTATCCATGAACTCGCCTTTGAATAACAGGACTTAAGCAGAATGAAATATGGTATGGAATAAGTGATATATATATATTTTTTTTTAATGTGAATGATAGTAAGATGGAATGATTTTGATAAATCATTTTCTGATAGATTAAGATGATGATCTTGATGAATAACAATAAGGGAAAAAATACGTGAACGGGCACTTTGTTACGTCACAATAAAATAATGCTATTAAAAACGTAAAGTTATCATATAGAATATTTAAATCAAAATATTGATGTTACAAAATCAAATTTGTTATAAAGAAAAAATATATATACAACAAAATGGGAATAATAAAAACAAATACATTATACAACAAAACCAAAAAATTGAAAATGGCAGTAATAACAAATTAAGGAATAACGGGGGGAAATATGGACCCCCCCCCCAAAGAAAAAAAAACAATAACTAAACAAAAATTTAAAAAAAACACACACACAAAAAAAACACTTAATCTTTAACCCAACAGCCTAACGCAGAGCAGCAGCACGTGGACGCCTTCAGAAGTGGAGCAGCACCTTGACGGGAACATCTGTCGCTGCACCGGATACAGACCCATCCTGGACGCCTTCAAGTCCATCACTGTTCAGGATATCGAGGTCTGTGTCGATGCGGTTTTGTTTTGTGGTTGTTGTTTTTCTTTTCTTTCTTTTCTTCTCTTCTCTTCTCTTCTCTTCTCTTCTCTTCTCTTCTCTTCTCTTCTCTTCTCTTCTCTTATTTATTTCTTCTTCTATCCCTTCTTCTTCTTTCTTTTTTTTCTTTTTTTTCTTTCCTTTTCTTTTACTTTTCATTTCTTTTCTGTACTTTTCTTGTCTTTTGTTATTTGTTATTGTTATTATTACTATTATCATCATTATTATCATCACTGTTGTTTTCTTGTCTTTTGTTATTTGTTATTGTTATTATTACTATTATCATCATCATTATCATCACTTGTTTTCTTGTCTTTTGTTATTTGTTATTGTTATTATTACTATTATTATCATCATTATCATCACTGTTGTTAATATTATATGTAAGTATTTAATTATTTTTATTACTATCCATTGATTCTATTTTTTCTCTCTTTTATACGTTCCTAAGATTTCTATTTTATCTGTGTTTTTTTTTCTTAATATTTCTTTATATCATCATCATTCAAATATTTTCAAAGAAATTATAAAAAAAAATGTCTGTTAACAAACGGTAATATAATAGTTATTCTTACAATTTACCTTTTTATCTCCGTTTTCTTTTATATTTTTTATTATGTTCATTGGGATTTTCCTATTTTCCTTTTATAATTGGGCTGTTGTTTTTGTTGTTTGTTTGATTATTATTATTTAGTGAACAGAAGTGTGAATTTGCGAGAGGATGACGTCACCAAGATAAGATAAGATATGGAAACAACTTGATCTGTTTCTTTTTCTTTTTATTATTATTTATTTTATTTCTAATACACTAAGGTTAATTAGTTTCTCCTCCATATATTTTCCTTTTCAGATGCGTACGAGATAAGTATATGAGATACGCACACGAAATACATAAATACATACATGCACGCACACGTACACACGTACACACACACACACACACACACACACACACACACACACACACACACACACACACATACACACACACACACATACACACACACACATACACACACACACACACACACACATACACACACACACACATACACACAACACACACACACACACACACACACCACACATACACACACACACACACACACATACACATACACATACACATACACATACACACACACATACACACAACACACATACACACAACATACACACACACACATACATACACACACACATACATACACACACACATACATACACACACACATACATACACACACACATACACACACACACACACACATACACACACACACACACACATACACACACACACACACACACACATACACATCCTCACCCTCCCCCTCCCCCCCCCCCCCCCCGACATACAAATAAAAATCACCTTACATAATTGAATATTCCACTTCACAAACGCTAATCAACCCTCCCCCCCCCCCCCCAGAAAAATGTATACTGAAATTGATTTATATAATATATATTTTTATTTTAACTTTTTTTCTTACGCAGGACTCCCACCTGGTTCGCTGTCCGAAAACGGGGGAGGCTTGTAAGGGGCACTGCGATAAAAAGGAAAATGGCAAGGTAATCCTGCATTTATCTAATATTTTCTAAATTTTATTGTTTCTGTTAATGTTTTATTATTATTATTATCATTTCCCTTATTATTATTGTTATTGTCGTTGTTATTATTATTATTATTATTATTATTATTGTTATTATTATTATTATATTATTATTGTCATTATTATTACTATATTGTCTTGTTATTGTTATCGTTATTATTATTATTATTGTTGTTGTTGTTATTATTATTATTGTTGTTGTTATTATTATTATTATTGTTATTATTACCATTATCATTGTAGGTATTTAATCAGCCGAGTAAGAAAATCCGATATCAAAAAGGCACATTATTTTCACCGTAAAAAAATTGATAACCATATTTCAAACTGATAAGAGGAAAACGATAATGATAACTCGGATAAGAAGATAGTATTACATTTTTATTAATGTGATAATGATTTTCATTTACCGTTTCTTATTATGACTGCCTCTTTATCTGTTTTTACTTTTCGTATTGTTTTTGGTTCAATATAATTTACGATTTGATAGTCATGTATTGCGTCACTTACTATATCCATTTATTATTATTCAGTAATTGTGTTTGTTTGTTTGTTTATGTTTCGCGTTCTGATAGATAGTGTTAATCATGATCTAATTATTTTTAAGAATTACTTATAGGCTATCCAGTCATCTGTACATCAAATTCCTATATGTATCAGCTATTTTACTCAACTTGTTTATATATTCATCTTATTTATATGCATGTATCCCACGTTTAAATTTCACAATTTACTTCATTCATGCAAATTATAATTCGCACGAATATTCACCTATTCTGATTGTGGGCCCAGTGAGTGACGTTGATATACACTTTAATTCACTTTACACTTTAATTCATACAGATTTTGATTCATATATTCACTTTACACTTAATTCATACAGATTTTCATTAATATATTCACTTTACACTTAATTCATACTGATTCTTATTAATATATTCACATTATATTGATTGTAGGTCCCAGTGAGTGACAATAAGGCCACACCAGCCCTCCTGCAGACGAAAGACTCAGCGTGGCACCAGCCGGCATCTCTTCAGGTACGTGTGGCACTCTCGATTGGGACTGTCACTCCCGGCGGCACTGCTGGGGGGGAAGGGGTAGGGGTCAGTGGGTTGATGGAATGATTGATAGGTGCTTGTTTACGTTTTCTTGTCTTGTATGTTATTGTATACAGTGTATAATAAAAACTATACTCTCAGGATCTCTACAATATCTTGGCTGGGCTCGAGGAAGGGAAAACTTACCGCTTCGTCTGTGGTGACACTGCCCAAGGTGAGGGTGTGGTGATGATGGTGTGGATGGTGGTGATTGGTGTTGTGGAAAAAAAATATTCACGTGTTTGATATTATTGACCTTTTTTTACAATCAGATTTTGGAGTTCTGGCTTAGATTTTCAATTTGGTGATACACGTTGCGACTATTGGCGGGCAGTTCCTTTTAGTTGTAGTATTCTCCGTGCGAACTATGTCCTAATATTTCCTCTACACCCTTATAGACCCTGACATACCCTAATACATTTCCATATGCCTTGATATACTCTTATATACCTTGATATACCCTAATGCATCCTCATACGCCCTAATATGCCCTGATACACCCTGATACCTCCTGCAGCCGTGTACTACAGCGGTTCCTACGACGCCTACATCTACACTCGCCACATCCCCGAACTCTCCCGCGTGGCACAGGCTGAGAATGGCGTGGTGTTCGGTGCCAACGTGTCAATCTCCCGTGTCATGCAGGAACTTGACACGGTGTCAACTGGGCGGGCTGGCTACACCTACGCGAAGGAGCTGGTCAGGAACTGGCACCACGTGGCGAGCACCTCCGTTAGGAATGTGAGTTCGTGTGGAACGCCTTTCTCGTCTAGGTGTGCGTGTGCGTGAGGTGGGGGGGGGGGGGGGTAGGAGTGGAGTGTGCGTGAGGGGGGGGGGGAGATAGGGGTGGCGTGTGCGAGAGGGGGTGGGGGCGATAGGGGTGGCGTGTGCGTGAGGGGGGGGGATGGTGAGTGGGAGTGTGTTTGTGCGTGAGTGAGTGTGGGGGGAAGGGATGTGTGTGTGTGTGTGCGCGCGCGTATGTGTATGTGTGTGTGTGTGTGTGTGCGCGCGCGTATGTGTATGTGTGTGTGTGTGTATGCGCCTGTGTGTGTGTGTATGTGCGTGTGTGTGTGTGTGTATGCGCCTGTGTGTGTGTGTATGTATGTGTGGGTGTGTGAGTGTATGTGTGTGTGTGTATGTATGTGTGGGTGTGTGAGTGTATGTGTGTGTGTGTATGTATTTTAGAGGATGTGGGAGTGAGTATGGCTGAATGAGAAGGCAAATGAGCAAGTGCATTTGCGTGCATAAGTGTGAGCTCAGTAGATTAGTGTGATTGACTCATTGAGTGAGTGTGTTTAGATGAGTGTGTGAGTGATGAGTTTAATGAGTAGGAGAGTGCGGGTTATTAAATGTGTCTGAGAGAGTATTTAATAGGTGAGTGAGTAAGTGTGAGTGACTGAATTAGAGAGTGCGTTTAAGAATACGATTTAAGTGACTAATTGAGCGTATGAGTGGTTGAGTAAAAACAAAAGAAAAAAAAAATGTAAAATTAATAATAAAATCAAAGGAAAACACCTATTTCTTCTTATTATTATTATTTAGGTTATTAGGTTATTTAATAGGGAAGGGATTAAATTTCTTATTTTATTATTTTTGTGAGTGATATATGAGTAAAACCTCCAAAAAAAGCAATTAAAACTAAAAAAAAAGTGACAATAAGAGAATAAAGAATAAATATATAAAAAGTAATAAAAAAGAAAAGGAAACGCATCTGATTATTTCGTTCATTCTTAATTTTCCTCATATCCCATTTTATTATTTTCTGTTTCCTTTCCCCCCATTTCCTATTTCCTTATTTATTTTCTCTACTTTCCCCTCATTTCCTATTTCCTTTCCCCCCATTTTCCTATTTCTTTATTCATTTTCCCTCCTCGCCATTTCCTATTTTTTTTTATTTTCCCTCCTTCCCCCATTTCCTTTTTTTTTCCTCCTTCCCCCCCATTCCCTATTTCCTTATTTATTTTCTCTACTCCCCCCCCATTTCCTATTTCCTTATTTATTTTCCCTCCTCCCCCCATTTCCTTTTTTTCTCTCTCTCTCTCCTTCCCCCCATTTCCTATTTCCTTATTTATTTTCCCTCCTTCCCCATTTCCTTTTTTTTATTTCCCCCCCATTTCCTATTTCCTTATTTATTTTCTCTCCTTCCCCCCATTTCTTTTTTTTTTCCTTCCTTCCCCCCATTTCCTATTTCCTTATTTATTTTCCCTCCTTCCCCATTTCCTTTTTTTCTCTCTCTCTCTCCTTCCCCCATTTCCTATTTCCTTATTTATTTTCCCTCCTTCCCCATTTCCTTTTTTCTCTCTCTCTCTCCTTCCCCCCATTCCTATTTCTATTATTTCCCTCCTTCCCCATTTCCTTTTTTTCTCTCTCTCTCTCCTTCCCCCCATTTCCTATTTCCTTATTTATTTTCCCTCCTTCCCCCCATTTCCTATTTCCTTATTTATTTTCCCTCCTCCCCCATTTCTTTTTTTTCCTTCCTTCCCCCCATTTCCTATTTCCTTATTTATTTTCTCTCCTTCCCCCCATTTCCTATCCTATTTCCTTGTTTATTTTCTCTACTCTCCCCCCATTTCCTATTTCCTTATTTATTTTCTCTACCCCCCTCCCCCATTTCCTATCTCCTTATTTATTTTCTCTACCCCCCTCCCCCATTTCCTATCTCCTTATTTATTTTCTCTACCCCCCTCCCCCATTTCCTATCTCCTTATTTATTTTCTCTACCCCCCTCCCCCATTTCCTATCTCCTTATTTATTTTCTCTACCCCCCTCCCCCATTTCCTATCTCCTTATTTATTTTCTCTACCCCCTCCCCCATTTCCTATTTCCTTATTTATTTTCCCTTTTCCCCCATTTCCTATTTTTTTTATTTCCCCCCATTTCCTATTTCCTTATTTATTTTCTCTACCCCCCTCCCCCATTTCCTATCTCCTTATTTATTTTCTCTACTCTCCCCCCATTTCCTATCTCCTTATTTATTTTCTCTACCCCTCTCCCCCATTTCCTATCTCCTTATTTATTTTCTCTACCCCCCTCCCCCATTTCCTATCTCCTTATTTATTTTCTCTACCCCCTCCCCCATTTCCTATCTCCTTATTTATTTTCTCTACCCCCTCCCCCATTTCCTATCTCCTTATTTATTTTCCCTTTTCCCCCATTTCCTATTTTTTTTATTTCCCCCCATTTCCTATTTCCTTATTTATTTTCTCTACCCCTCTCCCCCATTTCCTATCTCCTTATTTATTTTCTCTACTCTCCCCCCATTTCCTATCTCCTTATTTATTTTCTCTACCCCCCTCCCCCATTTCCTATCTCCTTATTTATTTTCTCTACCTCCCCATTTCCTATTTCCTTATTTATTTTCCCTCCTTCCTTTCCCGTCCTCAGTTGGGCAGCTGGGCAGGCAACCTCGGCTTGAAATTAAGTCATAATGAATTTCCGTCTGACATTTTCATCAACCTCCTGGGCGCCGGTGCTGTTGTAACGACAGGTAATTCGTTTGTTTTCTTGTCTTTGTTTTGTTTATGTTTTGTTAGGATAGGTAATTCGTTTCTTTTCTTGTCTTTGTTTTGTTTGTTTTGTTAGGATAGGTAATTCGTTTCTTTTCTTGTCTTTGTTTTGTTTATGTTTTGTAACGACAGGTAATTCGTTTGTTTTCTTGTCTTTGTTTTGTTTATGTTTTGTTAGGATAGGTAATTCGTTTGTTTTCTTGTTTATGTTTTGTAACGACAGGTAATGCGTTTGTTTTCTTGTCTTTGTTTATGTTTATGTTTTGTAACGACAGGTAATTCGTTTGTTTTCTTGTCTTTGTTTTGTTTGTTTTGTAACGACAGGTAATTCGTTTGTTTTCTTGTCTTTGTTTTGTTTATGTTTTGTAACTACAGGTAATTCGTTTGTTTATTTCTTTTATGTTCTGCTTCCTTGTTTTTTATTGTTTATGTTCTGTGTATTTATTTGTATTTATCCTTTTTCATTTGTTTATTTTTATTGATTGTTTTTTGTTTATATGAAACTACAGGTTTCTTCTGTTTACTTGTTTGTTTGTTTTCATATTTCATGTTCTTTTTAATTATTTTTTTCTTTTGTTTTTTATTTTTCAACTACAGTTATTTCACTAGTTTTTATTGTTTGTTTTGTTTATTTGTTCATTTTTACTGTCTGGTTGTTTTTTATCTGTATTTGCCTGTTTAATTTGTTTTTAATTGTTAATGTTCTGTAAATTTGTTTATTTTCTTGTTTTGTTTGGTTTAATCTTAACTACAAGTTATTTGTTTATTTATTTATGTGTTTGTTTTTACTATTTTCGTCCTATTTACTTGCAACTACAGGTATTTCATTTTTTTCTTTCTTTCTTTCTTTCTTTTCTTTTTCTCTATTCGAAAAGACAGAAGAAAAAAAGATAAATACGAAGAAAAAAGAGACAGAAAACTACAAAATGAATTAATAAAGGAGTGAAAATGATTAATCAAGATGAATAATTATTTTCACTTTGTATCGCTCAGCTCTACCTACCGGGTCGACCTCGACTCACACCCTCGAGGAACTGCTCGGCCTCGACCTTCAGAAGGAGCGTCGAGTGATCCTTGAGATGCGTCTTCCTCCTATGTCTGACGAGGTCGTCTTCAGGGTATTCAAGGTTAGTGTGTGTGTGCGTGCGTGCGTGCCTGTAGGCCTGCCTGCCTGCCTGCCTGTGTGTGTTTGTGTCTGTGCCTGTACCTGTGTGAGTCTGTATCTGTATCTGTGTCTGTGTGAATGCGTGTGTGTGTGTCTATATACGCATCCATATACCCACGCACATATCTACGTATACACAGAACGTACATATATACGTACATACACATACATACATACACATATACATACATATACATACATATACATACATACACAAACATAAACCAACATCGCTCATTCATACACATTATTTCATCACCCCTCCCTCCTATTCTCCTCTCTCACCCCCCCACCTCCCCTTACAGGTAATGGGAAGATGGACCAACACACACGCCTTCGTCAACGCGGCGATGGCCTTCAGAGTGGACAAAACCAACGCCCACACTGTGACCGAAAAGCCGCTGATCGCCTACGGTGGAATCAACCCAACGTTTGTGAGTGACTGGCTGGATAGATAGGGGATAGGTGGAGGCACGTTGGTTGATATGGTGGATGGATAGATGTAGATAAGGTGGTGGGGTAGACTGGTGGATAGATGGGGGGGGTAGGTGAATAGATAGATGTGATTGTTTTTGCTGAATTTGATTGATAGCTGATGTGGTAGACTGGTAGATATATGTGACTGTTGAATTTGATTGATATGAGTAAATTGGTTGATAAGATATGCAGATGGGTAAGTAGGCCGATAGATTAATTGAGGAAAAATAGATAGGAAGGATTTGTATGTAGATAGATAAAAAAGATGATAGATAGGTGGATGGATTGTTAGTTGGATATATAGTTAGATAGATAGTCTTATATATAGTTGGAAAATATGTAAATAGATGGACAGTTGAAAAAAAAGAAGTGGATAGACAAATAAAATGACAGATGGGTAGATAGTTTTACAAAGAGAACTGTTATTTTCATATAAAAAAAATAATAATTATTTAAAATCACGCTTCCAAAATATTTAATTACCTTTATTGGGCTAAGTGATTACTTGTATGTATGTGTATGAATATAAATAATATATTAAGATATACTAAATTGATTTCTTAGATATTTTTGAAGGAATACATTTCAAAACAAGATGTCTATACTTATTGCTGAGTTAGTAAATCCGTGATATTTCAACTATACAAAAAAATCCAGCTCATTCACTAAATTTGTTTTACAGCCCTAAAATGAAATAGAAATCTCATAGATCTAAATATCATTATGAGTAGAACAGCATTTGAATAATTGATGTTGATGATACAGTCCTCCGCTGTTGATTTTTGTCTAATAATATCAATAATAAAATGTATTTGTTGTAGCTAATAGAAATAATAGAGATGATAATTTTTCTAATTATAATAATGACAGTAATAATGATAAGGATAAGGATAATGACAGTCATAATGATAATGACAATGACAGTACTAATGATAATGATAACGAAAGTAGTAGTGTTAATGATAACGACAATGATAATGAGAATGACAATGACATTACTACTGATAATGATAACGACAGCAACAATGGTAAACAATATAACAGTGCGAAGTGAGTAGCGCCTTCTACAGTGTCTCTCTACAGAAATCTCTCCTGTAGGTGCGGGCCTCGGCTACGGAGGCGGCGCTGGAGGGCAAGAGCCTTGAAGATGAGGGAGTCCTACAGGCGGCCATGCAGGCTCTGGCCGACGAGCTCAAGCCTGATAACCTGCCTCAGGATCCCGCGCCAGAGTACAGGCTTTCTGTTGCCCAGAATCTGCTTTATAAAGTAAGGAAAGAAGAATATTAATAAATAAAGGGTATAGGGCAGGATGATCGTTAGTTCAGTTGATATGTTTGCAAATGGAATTGATTTCTTAGGCGGTTTCCCACGTTGAATAGTCGATTTTCTTCCATTCATAACGTTCTTTAAAGGGCAAGGGGTAGGGTGCTGGTTAGTTCAATTGATATATATGCAAATGGAATTGAATTCTTAGTCGACTTCCCACGTTGAATAGTCGATTTTATTACCTTCAAAACGCTTTTTTTAAGTTGTCTTTATCATAGTCCCTCGTCCGTCTTCCAGGGATAACTAAACTAAATCCAAACTTCCGCTAACCACGTTATCTCTCTATTTATCGTCTATTCCTCCTCTTCCCCTCGCGACACGCAGATGGTGCTGGGTATCGTAGGAAATGCCGCCTCTAGCACAGTGATCAGCGGAGGCACTGACCTGGAACGACCTGAATCGAGCGGGCAGCAAGAGTACGACCAGAATACCGAAACTTGGCCACTGGGTCAGCCGATTCCCAAGCTGGAGGCCCGCATGCAGTGTGCCGGTGAGTGCACGGTCTCATTAGCATTATTATTATTGTTGTTATTATTATTTTTATTATTATTAATGTTTTAGTTATTATGATCATTATCATTATTGTTGTTGTTGTTTTGGCTTTGTTGTTATTACTATTATTATTATTATTATTATTATTATAGTTATGTATTTTTTTTTTTTTTATAAAATAGGATCGTTATTGTTATGGATGGTTTTTGTTATTGTTTTTTCTTGTTTTTTTCTTGATTTATATATACGATTAATACATAGTGTGTTTCTGCGTCTGAATAATGTTGAACAAAAATAAACCTGATTTCCAAACAGAGGCAAAGGATAAGTGAACACATTTGCAAATCACAGTAATTATGTTCAGTTATAACATTAATATCAATAATAATCCTAAGTATGCAGCTGATAATAATAACAATAACCAAGACAATCGACATTAAACCAAAAATAAGCCCCTTACCCCCCAACCCAGGCGAGGCCGAATACGTGAACACAATGGCGGCCGTGAACGAGGAACTTTTCGGAATGTTTGTCACGTCGACGCAGGCCAACGCTCGCATCGCCAGCATAGACCCGTCGGCTGCCCTTGTGAGTGGAAAAGAGCTGGTTTTCTTCTTATTCTTATTCCTTTTCTTATTATTATTTATTATTATTCTCCCTTTTCTTCTCCTGGTTCTTCTTCTTCTTCTTCCTTTTTTTCTTCTTCCTTTTCTTCTTCTTCTTATTCCTTTTTTTCTTCTTCCTTTTCTTCTTTTTCTTCTTATTCTTATTCCTTTTCTTCTTCTTCCTTTTCCTATTATTCTTATTCTTATTCCTTTTCTTCTCCTGCTTCTTATTTTTCTTCCTTTTCTTCTCCTGCCTCTAATTCATCCTTTTCTTCTTTATTCTTATTCTTCCTTTTCTTCTCCTGCTTCTTATTCTTCTTCCTTTTCTTCTTTTTTTTGGGGGGGAGGGGGTAGGGGTTGTGTGTATGTGCTCAAATAATGATCTTAATTTATTACTGTAGGTATTATGTAGATCACGTATAGATATAGATATTGATATACAGATTTAAGAAGATATACGAGTATACGTATGTATGTATATACCAAGATATATTATGTATTTGTTATATATTTTTGTTAAGGATGATAAGGAGAATGATTGCTTCCTGGCGGTTTCTTTATTCATTTCCTTCTTACGGATTAGAAAGTACCGTTAATTAATTTTAATATGTATTCGCCCGTGCCCAGGCTATGCCCGATGTGGTAGCGTTTGTGGGCGTGGAAGACATTAAAGGAGTCAACAATATTATGGCTTTTGCGTGGCCTTTGCCGCAGAAGGTAAGGCAGCCATTTTGTTTTATTGTTGTTTTTGAAAATCTTTGTTTTAATATTCTGAAGGCGTCGTTTGTATTTATCTGTTTAGTTTTTTAACAAATAAGAAGTGTATTTGATTTGCTTTTCGTTGTTATGACTTGTTTCTTATTTATATATTTGTTTTTTTTCTCGTTTTCTTTCGTGGGCATGCTCTCTCGACGCTGGGGTAACTTCGCTGAATAAATACATCTCTATCTCCCCCTCCCCCTACCCCTACCCCTACCCCTACCCCCTCTCTCTTCCTTCTATATCTCGCTCGTTCTCGCTAATCACTCACGCTCTCACCACCCAGCTCTTCCCCGAGGACCGAGTGTCATACTACGGGCAGCCCATCGGCCTTATAGTCACCAAGAACAGGGGAGCGGCCTACGGTGCTCGCGAGGCTGTCAAAGTCACGTATGACGACATTCAGCCGCCTGTGTTGACCATTGAGGACGCCCTGCAGAAGCCACCTATTAAGGGGCCTCCTTACGAACAGGGGGATGTGCAAGGTACATGTTGCAAGGGTGTCGTTTTTTCGGAAAGGAGTGGTTGGAGGTTTTTTACTCTTCGTTTTTTCTCCTTTTTTTCTTTCTTTTTAGGGTTTATTGTGTTTTATGTTTTTTTGCAATAGGGTCAAGTGTGTTTCACTAATGATTGTAAGAAAAATAGTGATAATTCCTTTAGTTTTCTCTTTTGTAATTTAAGAGTTTCTGTGATGGTTTCAAACACATTTCTTTTTTGTTGTTGTTGGCGATTTTTATAAATATTCCATAATCGTCAAAGGGTTTTTGGATGGTGAAAGAAAATGTCGTAAGATATGCATTTCTCAGGACCTAAACCTCATGCGTTTCTTTTTCCTTCTTTGATCAGCTGGATTCGCTTCCTCGACGCACATCTTCGAAGGGGCCATGAGCCGAGACGGACAGTATCACTTCCACATGGAGTCTCAGGTACGGCCAGGGATAGATTTTTTTTTGTTTGTTTGTTTACTAGTTTTTTCTTTTATTCTCATTTTCTTTGATTGACTGGTTGGGGGGTAACTTCACTAGATAAACCGAGTGTATCTGTTTCACTCGTTCTCTTGCTCTTATCTCGAAGAAAAAAGGTAATGTGACCACGGTTATTTAATTCATTCACAATTACATCAGTCCGCTACTGTATAAAAAAAAACAGGAGTATAGCCGTACGTTGTAGTTAAATCGATTAATGAAATGGATTCACAATGAAAAGAAAGAAGAGGGAAAATCTACATGTTGTTTATGTTATTTATTTATTATTTTCTCAAATACTGCTGCCTGTGTTTCAGATTTCCAGACCTACCACACTTACAACCGTCACTTACGTATCAAAATTATGCCTCGCAACCTGCTACTACCATCTCCCACTTACATAACTACTTCCTTCCTACTACCACAACCACCTACAGACCTACCACTAATACCACCCTCTTCCCTACCCCACGCAGTCGTGTCTAGTCGTGCCCACTGACATCGGCCTGGACGTTTATGCCTCGACCCAGTGGGCATCGGAAACTCAGCGTGCTATCGGCCAAGTATTGGGCATTCCGGATAACACGTAAGTCGAGAACACAAGAACACTGAGAGATTGATATTCATACCCTGAGAACACGAGCTTTCCGTGTGATAGATGTGTTAACTCGAGAATCTGGTGAGATATAATGTAGGAGAACAGATGTGATAGAGTGAAGAACATCATAACATAAGAATATGGTAACAGATAGAGACGATAACAATAAAACACAATAGTACAGATATAGTGACTTGGTATAACATTATAAAACAAAACCGCGGTAGCACATGAAACACAGTAACACAGCAACAGTATCTCAAGAACACATATGAACATAGCACGTGAACGCAATAACAGAAACACATTATGAGATAAACACAAACAGTGACGTGTACACAAAGATGAAAAGGAAAACAGCCAGATATGAAATCATATCGTAACAGTTAATCATTCGTCTGAAGAGGAACTCGTGAGGAGTTCGAAACGTTGCGATATATTTTTTTTTTTTTTTTTCATTTCTTATTGTGGATTTGTTTTTCCTTTTCACATTATCTGATAGACACGATAGCACAAAACAAAAACAATCCAATAATTAAACAACGGAACTTCATGACCTAGCAACACCTCGCCTGACCCAGTCTCTCCCTCCCTCCCCCCCTCCCTCCTTTCCCCCCCTCCCTCCCCCCCTATCCAGCATCAACGTAACGGTCAAGCGGCTGGGCGGGGCTTTCGGCGCCAAGATCGACCAGTGCAACATAGTGACGACGGCGGCGGCGGTGGCGGCGCAGAAGGTCCGAAAGCCCGTGCGCGTGGCCCTCGACCTCGACGCCAACATGACCGTTATCGGCTGGAGGGAGCCCTATTTGTGCACTTACAAGGTTGGGTGTTTTTAGCTTTGTTGTTCTTGTTCTTATTATTATTGCTGTTTTATAGTTCTCGTTATTATTATTGCTGTTTTATGATTATTGCTATTATTATTATAATTGTTGTTATCATCATTACCATTCCTGCTATTACCATTATCATTACGGTATTTATTTATTTTTCATTACTACTTATTATTTTGTAGTCATATTGTTATTGTTGTTCTTGTTTTGGCTATTATTATGTTATTATTATTATTATTATTACTAATGCACAGAGAGCGGATTTTTTTTTTTTTTTTTTTTATCCGCAAATAAGATTAAGATTAATTTCTCTTCCCGTTTCTAGTGTTTCTCATAATTTGTTTTCTCTTTTTTTTTAGATTTTTTCCCCATTTTGCGTTTCTTTGGATTCATTTTTTTTATCCCTTTCCCATACCACTTTTTGCATTTCTTTGAATTTCCACTTTTTTTTTTTAATCAATTATCTTTTTTTATCGATTATCATATCCTCCTTTGTTTATTTGTTTGCTTATCCATCACTTTCATTCCTTCTACAGGTCGGTGTCGACGACTCCGGTGTCCTGCAGGCCATCCAGGCGACGCTGACCTGTGACGCAGGCTACGTGGCAGTGGACACGTCTAGCCCCGCCGCTGTGTACTGCATGACTTCGTGTTACAGCTGCCCTAACTGGGAGGTCACGCCGCAGGTCGTTCTCACTAACACGGCCTGTAATACGTGGTGTCGCACGCCTGGTAGGTCTGCTGGGTGCTGGGTGGGTTGGGTTGGTGGGGGGGGGGGGGGGTAAGTGGCTGCCCCCTCCCTCTTAGTGGCGTTTTCTGTTGTGTTTTATTTACTTCGACTTTTTCATTTCATTCATATATTTTTTGTTCTTTTACGTTTCTTTGTTTCATGTCTGATTTCTGTTCGTCCTCTTTTTTCTCATCATTATCATCATCGTTATCAACCTTGTCCTCCTCTTCGCCTCTTCCATCACCTCCCCCTGCTCCTCCTCCTCCTCCTCCTCCGCCTCCGCCTCCGCCTCCGCCTCCTCCGCCTCCCTTCTTTCTCCAGTTTCTCTTCCACCTCCTGATTCCTCCATTTTCTTCTCCTCTTCTTTTATCTGATCCTTTTCCCACTCCCATTCCTCCTCCTCCTCCACCTCCCCCTCATCCTCCACCTCCCCCTCATCCTCCCCCTCCCAACTTCACCACTCCATGTCTCCCTCTCCCTTTCCCCCCTCCACCACCAACAACAACTCACTCCTACTGGTCCTTCACCCCCCCCCCCCGCCTACTCATCCACCTCCACCTCCACCCAACCTCCACCTCCACCTCCACATCTCGCTCCTTCGCCTGCGTGATGCAGTGGTAGCGTTCTCATCTTGAAATCTTGCTGACCCGGGTTCGAATCCCGCACTGCCTGTGGATGGTCACCACGGCCATTCCTTGCACACAGGGGGGGGGGGGGTAATTTAGAAGCAGACAGACAGCCTGTCACATCAATCACAAGAATAATTATAATAACAAAGGTAATTAACTAAATTATTATTGTGATTATCATATCTTCCTTCCTTCTCCAGGTACGGTTGAGGGCGTGATCTTCATGGAGAATATCCTAGAGCACGTGGCGCAGGGCATGGGCATGGACCCTCTGGAGCTGAGGAAGAAGAACTTGATGCCCGACGGAGGGACGCGCCCGCTTAATCAGGGCATGATTCGCTTCAGGTCACTCGTTGCAGGCAAGGGTAAGTTTTGGGGGGAATTTCTACTTAAGTCTCCCCTCTTTGTTTTTATTCCGTTTTCTTTTATTTATTTTTTTCTTGCACGCTTTTCTGATATATATTTTTTTCTTTTTAATAGCGTACTGTACAGCTCATGATAACTGTAGTAGTAACAATAATAAATAACAGTATTACAGATAATGATAATGATAATGATGGTAATAATAGTAATTATAATTTCGACGCAACGGCGTGCAGAAACCTCATTATGTCAGATTAAATAACAAATAAATCACCTTACTGAAAATAACGCACATCACACGCCAAAACACATTCACACATACATACACACATCCTCATTCACATATTCACATGTATATCCACATACACATACATACGTACCCTCACACACACACACACACACACACACACACACACACACACACACACACACACACACACACACACACACACACACACACACGCGCGCGGACCCTCAAACACACACACACACACGGACCCTCAAACACACACACACACACACGGACCCTCAAACACACACACACACGGACCCTCAAACACACACACACACACACACGGACCCTCAAACACACACACACACACACGGACCCTCAAACACACACACACACACACACACACACACACACACACACACACACACACACACACACACACACACACACACACACACACACACACACACGGACCCTTAAACACACACACACACACACGCAGACCCTCAAACACACACACACACACACACACACACACACACATCCTCAAACACACACACCCTCAAACACACACACACACACACACACACCCTCAAACACACACACACCCTCAAACACACACACACACACACACCCTCAAACACACACACACCCTCAAACACACACACACACACACACACCCTCAAACACACACACACCCTCAAACACACACACACACACACACACACCCTCAAACACACACACACACACGCACACACACACACACACACACGGACCCTCAAACACACACACCCTCACACACACACACACACCCCTTTTCAACCCCCTTCCTCCTCATCCTTTCAGAAGCGAAATGGCTCCCCGACAGCCTCCCTGTACCAAGGAACCTCATTTCGGACATGCTGACCCAGATTCTGACCTCAGCTAATGTGGAGGAGCGGAAGCAGATAGTTGCTAATTATAACCAGGTGTGTGGGGGTGGGGGTGGGAGGTGGGTGGGGAATGTGTATGGGAGGAGTGGGGGGAATGTGTGTGTGTGTGTGTGTGTGTGTGTGTGTGTGTGTGTGTGAGAGAGGGTACGTGTGTGTGTGTGTGTGTGTGTGTGTGAGGGTACGTGTGTGTGTGTGTGCATTTATTCATTTGTTTGTTTTTTGGTATATGTTTTTTATTCAATGATTCACAATATTTTATTCAATCCATTGTATTGTAGTTCTCTAAAACAAACAACAAACCCATTTTATAAATTTATGTATATGTTTTTACGGAGATCTCTAGAATGAGGCAAACAACAGAGCCAACCAACAGATCACAGATTTATCGCCGAAAATAAAGAAATATTAATTCTGCCATTTTCCTCTCCCGTAGACCAACCTTTGGAAGAAACGCGGCCTGTCAGTGATGCCTTTGCTGTGGCCTTATGCAGTGGCAATGAAAGTGCCATTCAATGCCATGGTATCTGTCAACGCCCGGGATGGCACTGTGGCTGTCTCCCACGGTGGCACTGAGCTGGGACAGGGCATAAATACGAAGGTGAGGGAATGGTTATTAAATTCTGGCTAAATCGAAAAAAAATACGAAAAGAAATATAACCAGTGTAGTTTTATGTTATGATACTGTCAAATTCAAGAGATTGTGTTTATAATTATGTATATTTAAGATATCGCAATATTATAAGGGGTAGGATATTTCTCTTAAAATATTCCATATGTATGTAAATATAATCCCCTTAAATTATTTTTTATATTATTTTTAATATTAAATGCAGACATAAGTATATACTATTTAAATGCTAAGAAAAAAGCTATATCATTTTCCATTTTCAAAAATCATGTTTTTTTTCTTCTTCTTTCTTTCTTTCTTTCTTTTACGAAAATGGGGCGTGGTACGAATGACAAAGAACAGGCCAACTATTCATTTAATTTAACTGCCAATTTCCCTATTTTTCATTTTTATACATTTTTATACATGAATGGTGAAAACACTCTACCGTGTTGATACTATGGTAGAAAAACCCACAATATAAAGCTAGATTTTACGTTGTGGGTTTTTCTACCATTTTTCCACATATTTCAGTATCCACTCCATTAAGTGCATTGGTTTACCCTAAACTACGACCTATCCTCGGTGTTCAAGGAAAATTCCTATGCTTTTATCCTACAGTCCTCTTACCTCATCCTTATCCTTATCCTCATCCTCATCCTCATCCTCATCTCCATCCCCCGCATAACGCCTTAGTCATTCCACCGTCAGTCCTCAATAATTCCTCATTCATTTCTTCAGTCAATCCACAGTTATTCCTCGGTCGTTCCTCAGTCGTTCCACACTCACTCCACACTCACTCCTCACCACTTCCACACCCATTCCACACACGCTCACCACTTCCACACTCACTCCTCACCACTTCCACACTCACTCCTCACCACTTCCACACTCACTCCTCACCACTTCCACACCCATTCCACACACACTCACCACTTCCACACTCACTCCTCACCACTTCCACACCCACCCCTCACTCACACCCCACCGTCCTTCCTCAGGAATGACAGAGACATGGGTGAGTTGCAGAGTTGGGGGGGGGGGAAGGTAATGACAGAGACATGGGTGAGTTGCAGAGTTGGGGGGGGGGGAAGGTAATGACAGAGACATGGGTGAGTTGCAGAGTTGGGGGGGGGGGAAGGTAATGACAGAGACATGGGTGAGTTGCAGAGTTGGGGGGGGGGGAAGGTAATGACAGAGACATGGGTGAGTTGCAGAGTTGGGGGGGGGGGAAGGTATGACAGAGACATGGGTGAGTTGCAGAGTTGGGGGGGGGGGAAGGTAATGACAGAGACATGGGTGAGTTGCAGAGTTGGGGGGGGGGGAAGGTAATGACAGAGACATGGGTGAGTTGCAGAGTTGGGGGGGGGGGAAGGTAATGACAGAGACATGGGTGAGTTGCAGAGTTGGGGGGGGGGGAAGGTAATGACAGAGACATGGGTGAGTTGCAGAGTTGGGGGGGGGGGAAGGTAATGACAGAGACATGGGTGAGTTGCAGAGTTGGGGGGGGGGGAAGGTAATGACAGAGACATGGGTGAGTTGCAGAGTTGGGGGGGGGGGAAGGTAATGACGGGGACATGGGTGAGTTGCAGAGTTGGGGGGGGGGGAAGGTAATGACAGAGACATGGGTGAGTTGCAGAGTTGGGGGGGGGGGAAGGTAATGACGGGGACATGGGTGAGTTGCAGAGTTGGGGGGGGGGGAAGGTAATGACGGGGACATGGGTGAGTTGCAGAGTTGGGGGGGGGGGAAGGTAATGACAGAGACATGGGTGAGTTGCAGAGTTGGGGGGGGGGGAAGGTAATGACAGAGACATGGGTGAGTTGCAGAGTTGGGGGGGGGGGAAGGTAATGACAGAGACATGGGTGAGTTGCAGAGTTGGGGGGGGGGGAAGGTAATGACAGAGACATGGGTGAGTTGCAGAGTTGGGGGGGGGGGAAGGTAATGACAGAGACATGGGTGAGTTGCAGAGTTGGGGGGGGGGGAAGGTAATGACGGGGACCTGGGTGTAGTTCCAGAGAAAAGGTGGATGATTGTGTGTGTGGGGGGGGAGAAGGGGTGGATGAGGAGGAGATGTGGATGACAGAAAGAGGCAGTGGATGAGGAGAAGGAAGGAGAGGGAGAAGAGAGAGGGATGGATGAAGGTGATGGGGGGGGAGAAAGTTTTTGAAAGATCGAGTTATTATTTTTTCCTCGTTTAGAAGAAGTACTAAAAAATTAAATGCTTTCAAAATCATTAATTTCAGGCCCGCATTGTGAAACTCTTGGTGCTTATTTCATTCTAATGTTTGTTTTTTATCTTTGTTATTTATTTTTTTATTGTTATTATAACATGATAATTATGATAATGATAATAATAATAACCAGACGGTAATTCGGAATGTCACCAAAATTTATTCAGTCTAAGTTATTCCCTTTCTGACTTGTCCCAAAACTTCGATGAAAGCACTTTTTGAGCTACGCTGCAACAAACAAATAACCAACGCCATCAAAAACATATCCTCCTTGGCGGAGGTAACAATAACAATAAAATGGGAGATGAAATGTGGCACACGTTTCCGTAGATTTGTGTGCTGAACTTGGATAGTAAATTTATTGATTAAATAAATAATGAAAAAATAATAATAATACCTTCTCTATTCTTTCCTTCCTTCCTTCCTTCCTTCCTTCCTTCCTTCCTTCCTTCCTTCCTTCCTTCCTTCCCTTCCCCCTCACCCCTTCTCTTCCCTTCCCCTTCCCTTCCCCTTCCCCCTCACCCCTCCCCTTCCCTTCCCCTTCCCCCTCACCCCTTCTCTTCCCTTCCCCTTCCCTTCCCTTCCCCTTCCCCCTCACCCCTCCCCTTCCCTCCCCTTCCCTTCCCCTTCCCTTCCCCTTCCCCTTCCCCACCCCTTCCCCTTCCCCTTCCCTTCCCCTTCCCCTTCTCCCACACCCCCCTCCCTTCCCTTCCCCCTCACCCCTTCTCTTCCCTTCCCTTCCCCCTCACCCCTCCCCTTCCCTTCCCTTCCCCCTCACCCCTCCCCTTCCCTCCCCTTCCCTTCCCTCTCTCCCACCCTCTCCCTTCCCACCCCTTCCCCTTCCCACCCCTTCCCCTTCCCCTTCCCCTTCCCCTTCCCCTTCCCCTTCCCCTTCCCCTTCCCCTTCCCCACCCCTTTTCCCTCCGCACCCAGGTCCTGCGCACCGACATCCTGGAGGACGCCGGCAAGAGCATGAGCCCGATAGTCGACGTCGGGCAGGTGGAGGGGGCGTACGTGATGGGCCAGGGGCTCTTCACCATCGAGAAGCCCCTGTACGACCATGACACCGGCAGGAGGCTCACCGACGGGACCTGGGTGAGTGCCAGAGTTGGGTGTGGGGGGAGAAGGGATGGGTGTGGGGGGGTGATGTGATGTGTGGGGAGAGGGAAGGGGAAGGGGGAAGGTAATGACAGAGACATGGGTGAGTTGCAGAGTTGGGGGGGGAGGGGGAAGGTAATGACGGGGACATGGGTGAGTTGCAGAGTTGGGGGGGGGGGGAAGGTAATGACGGGGACCTGGGTGTAGTTCCAGAGAAAAGGTGGATGATGTGTGTGTGGGGGGGGGAGAAGGGGTGGATGAGGAGGAGATGTGGATGACAGAAAGAGGCAGTGGATGATGGAGAAGGAAGGAGAGGGAGAAGAGAGAGGGATGGATGAAGGTGATGGGGGGGGAGAAAGTTTTTGAAAGATCGAGTTATTATTTTTTCCTCGTTTTAGAAGAAGTACTAAAAAATTAAATGGCTTTCAAAATCAGAATTTCAGGCCCGCATTGTGAAACCTTGGTGCTTATTTCATTCTAATGTTTGTTTTTTATCTTTGTTATTTATTTTTTTATTGTTTTTTGTTGATTTCTGCGTGTGTGTGTGTGTTTGTGTAAGTGTGTGTGTTTAAGTACACATTGGACCTTAAACCATCGTTTTACCTTCTCAAACAGTTTACGAAAAAAAATAATAATAATACCTTCTCTATTCTTTCCTTCCTTCCTTCCTTCCTTCCTTCATTTCTTCCTTTCTATGTTCTCCCATCCTTCCTATTTTCTCCCATTTATCATCCTTCTTTTCGTCTCCCCTTTTCACAGTATTACACCCCGCCCGCCGCCCTCGACATCCCCGTTGACTTCCGCGTTTCCCTGCTCCATGACGCCCCTAATCCTGTGGGCGTGCAGTCATCCAAGGGTAAGATTTTTTCAAAGATTGAGAATGATGAAATGATGATAAAAAATAATTGATGATGAATAGGATGAAATATGGTGACGAGGAAGGTGATGATGAGGATAATGATGATTAGGTTTATAATTATAATAACGGCTGTAATGTATAATGAATATGATGGTGATATTGATTATGATGATAATAATAACGGTGATAATAATTATGATAATGATAATAATGGTGATAAAGTCTGTGATAATGATAGAATATAGTAGAAAAGGTAATGATAGAAATGATGATAATGATAACAATGACTTCGATGTCATCAAAAATTTTGCTGTGATAGTCGTGGAAGAAAAAAACGAAAACAAAAATCCACAACATAAAAAGGCCACTACCAGTATTTAAAAAATGATAGAAGATAAAAGAGAGATCTTAGGCATAATTAGATAAATAGAAACGTAAAGGAGAGGAATACGAGAGAAGGTTTAAACAAAAACAAAATCGATTTAAAATGTTGATGTTATGTTTGTTTTTTTCAGTGACTGGAGAACCCCCTCTGTGCTTGGCCTTCACAGTAGTCATGGCACTGAGGCAGGCAGTGGCAAGTGCCAGAGGAGATGCTGGTGTAACCGACTGGTTCCAGATGGGTATGTTTGTGTTTGTCTGTCTGTTTGTTTGGTGAGAGAGAGAGAGAGAGAGAAGAGAGAGAGAGAGAGAGAGAGCAAGTGTGTGTGTGTTTGTGTGTGTGTCTGTGTCTGTGTCTGTGTTTGAGAGAGAGAGAGAGAGAAAAAAAAATCAAAATAAGGATTGTTTAGTATGACGGATGGTGTTATCACTCTACAGCCTGTACATGCGATACTTGTGTTTACTAGATTATCATTATAATCTAATCAGTATGTATGACGAAAGTATGACATTATATAACCATTACTTCACATTATTCATTTTATCAAGTATTCACCCATGGTAACAGGACACAAAATACCATCTGTACTATAATATCTATTATTATTTGGGTGATGATAATGATAATAATAATGGTGACAATGATAATAATAGTAATGGTAATAATGTTATGGTGGTTATCTTTAGTAGTATTAGTATTATTGTTAACAATAACATTGATAATGATGGTGACAATTGTAGCAATTATAAAAATCCTGACAGTGATAGTAATGATGATAATGATAATGAATATAGATGTAAGGACGACCTTTTGTAACTGCTGCCTTTCCCTTTCCAGACACGCCACTGACTGTTGACAATTTGCAACGCCTTTGTCTCGTGGATTCTAGCCGCCTCACCATCAAATAATTTCCCTAAGTCCCCAATGAAGAATTAACTGTGAATTGAATTGTAAAAGAAAATAGTTAGAACTGCGTATTCTTGTTGATTTTATGATTTGCTGTTGGACGACGTGTGTGCAGTTTTAGAAATATACCTTTGTCATGGCTTTGTATAATGACCTAAATGGATTTTTTTCTGCTGCATTGTTATATTCCAGGAGTCAGAGAGATACCTGCATTGTGGTTATTATTATTTTTTTTTATCCATAGCATACGTTTCTCTGCAGGATTTTGCGTGGGATAGCGATGCTCATTTGTTTTTGTTATGTATTTTATTAATGCAGTTTTCAGTTCTTGCTGTTGATTTTCGTTTCTAGTCTGTTACTTTGTTGTTGCATATGAATATATTTATATACTGGCCCTCGTGTAGGTGAATGCAGATGATTTTTTGTATTGATTCGAATGGACTTGGGGGAAAAAAACTCATCATGGTGATTCGAGCAGAAGATATATAATTCCATATTTCCAGATACTGTTATCATTTGTTCTATTTGAAATACGAATTTCTTTTAGACTTGAGTAATAATTATGTACCGATCTAATAAAGTTATTTATGCGACATGAGATGACTTATTATTTCCCTTCATGGAAACAGACGGCCTATTGACAAGAAAACTTTTTTTTTTGACATTATACCTTTAGATTACTCTTGTGATTGTATATACCAAACCAACCAAGTGTAAGGGAACGTACTTGTATAATTATTTAAAAGAATTATTTGTTTTTAATATTAGTATGGTGTCAGGTTCTTAGACTTACGGGTGTATCAGAGCGGTCAGGTCAACGGAAACACACCAGAGGAAACATACAGAAGGTTTATTACTACGGGCACTATTTACACTACATAAACACAACAACAGGATATTTACACAAACAACAAGGAGAGGATCCAGCGGAGCACACGAGGTCACATGGCGGAAGGGAGCACACAAGTCAAAGTCACGGGACCACTGTAGAATTTGCAATGCAAGCAATTGAGTTTTGCGAAGTCTGGCTTCGCCCGGGCCTTCGGCTATGGCCCGGCCTGTGTCAGCTTTTTAGGGCTGACTCATTTTAATCTGTGTAACTCGACGCTTACCGTGGCGGTGGGATTGCCAAGAGGCGTTCCTGCTGCCACGGGGTAAGCGAATTGCAAAGTCTCTTTACCAGCACGGCGGCTGTTGTCGGCGGTTCTTGTCTCAGGAATTGTGTGTGAACACAATTCTCTAGGTAGTGTATAAGTGTGGCGTTCGGCTCGCCGCAATGCATGCAACGCCTCGCTTCTCGGTCAAGGTTTTCAATTATCTGCCAAGTACAGTGGTAACCTAGGCGCATTCTGTGGAGAATGACTTCGGTACCTCTGTTCTTTAATTCAGAGAGTGCCAGAGGTTCATAGCCTGTCGCTTCTGAATACCATCTGGCCGAGTGGGAGGTTCTCGTTGTCTCTCTGTGAAGCTGCAGGAGGAAGGAGTTGGCGACACCAGTACACTTCCTCCGAAGTAAAGTACGGCTAGGTGGTAAGATCATGGGACTAGGGGGCATACCCCTGCCAGAGACTGCTAGTCTGTCAGCAAGTTCGTTTCCTCTGATCCCTATATGGCTTGGGACCCAGTTAAGGACAATTCTTCTACCCTGAGCCAATATTCTGTGTGCTAGTGTCAGAATCGTGGTCAGGAGGTAGATATTGTCTTTGGGTGAGCTGAGCTTGAGAGAGTCTATGGCTGCCCTAGAGTCAGTATGTATGACTACGTGTCCTTCCCCAGAGGACGCGTGTGCTAGGGCTCCCATGATCGCAACGGCCTCTGCCTGTAGCGAGGAGGCGTTGTCAGGCACTCTCATGGAGCGCATGGCATCCCTTGTTGCAAAGCCGGCGCCTGCAGTGTGGTTGGTTGGATCGACCGATCCGTCTGTGTAGTAGGTTCTACTACCTGGGGGGGTGATGGCTGATATGACCCTGTAGGTCTCTGCCTTTAGACCAGGCGTGGGATATTCGCTCTTTTTCAGCGGTAGTTTCATCACCGAGAACTCTATCGAGTTTGTCGCCCACGGCGGGGCTTCGACAAAGCCAGGGTGGGGGGAGTCCATACCCTTGGTGAGAAGCTGCTCTTTCAGCTCAAACCTTATCAGTACTCTGGCTGTGTGGGACAGCCACGAGTTGTTGGCGAACAGCTCGTTGTCTTGTTCCAGGCGTCTCACTAGTTTTTCTCTTAGGCTAGTGTTCCTGGGAGTCTGGATGACCTTTGCAAAAAAGTTGGCTGCCATTTGATCGATTCGTGAGTCCAGGGGGAAAAGGTTGGCCTCCATTAGGAGGTTGGGAATCTTTGTCCACCTCGGGGCACCCAGAATGATTCTGGCAGCTTCATTTTGGACTGTTTCCAATTTTTCTCTGTATTTTTGCTTTCTGCCAATTAAGGCGACTGAGGCATAATCCACAAGGGGCCTGACAGCATGTACATAGAAGGATCTGAGTACTTTGTGCCTGGCTCCTATGCGTTTCCCGGTCATTGCTCTCATGACGCTCAGTCTTGATTTGCAGCGGTCAACCAGGTACTCGGTCTCCTGTCGGAAGGAGAGGGTCCGGTCTACCCATACCCCAAGGTATTGGAACACCGGGACCCATTCCAAGTTTGCTCCCTGGATTCTCAGGCTTGTGCCTTGAACTCGTCTTCTCAGAGCCATGGCTTTAGATTTGGCTACTGAGATCTTGAGTCCTGTCCTGCAACACTCCTCAGACACTAGGTCCAGACAACGCTGGGCATTGTTAAGGCATTGTGTCCCGATGGAGGTGATGGCAAGATCGTCTGCATAAGAGATGATCTTGCATCCCCTTGGGAGGTTTAAGTTGAGGATACAGGACATGAGTACATTGAATAGGGTTGGACTCAGAACCCCACCCTGTGGTGTCCCATTTTCTAATGGCAAGTGCTGTGATAGGTGACCCTGGAACTTTACTCTGGCTCTTCTGTTCCTAAAGTAGTCACCTATCCAAGCCAGGAGCTTTCCTCGGATTCCCTTCTGGGCCAGGGACTCCTGAATAGCAAGGGGACTTGCTAGTTCGAAGGCCTTTTCCAGGTCAAGGAATATTACCACGGCTGAGGTGGTGCTGACTGTGCTCAAGAGCGTGGCAATGCTGTGTGCAGTGCTCATTCCCCTGGCGAACCCGTGCAGGTGTTCGTGTGGGGGTCCCATTTTCCACAGGAGCCGGTTCAGTACCATCCTCTCGGCCGTCTTGGCCAGACAGCTGAGGAGGGAGATGGGGCGGTAATTCCCCGGTTCCTTGGGTTTTGGGATGGGAACTATGGTAGCCCTCTTCCAGCTCTGCGGCAGAGAGGAGGATTCCCAGGATTTGTTGATGAGTTGCAGGAGTGCAAGCTCACCCTCTCGTCCTAGGCGGGAGATGATGGGATACGTGATCCCATCGCAACCCGGGGCTGTGTTGGAACTGAATTTATATGCTTTTCGAAGTTCCCTCAGAGAAAAGATAACATCTGAGTTATCGGCTTCGGCTGCCCTTTCTCTGATCTGAGCAAGTCTGTCTGCTTTCAGGCTTTCTTGTTTGGCCCTCAGCTCGGCTGGTAGACTGTTGCTGCTTGTTCTGTCAGAGAACTCGAGCGCCAGTCTGTGATGCGTTCGTCTCGGGGCTGAGCGGCTGGTAGCTCGCCTGACCCGTTGCCACAGCTCTGAGAGGCTGGTATGCTGATCAAAGGATTCACACCATTCCAACCACTTTTCCTGCCTTACTCTGTTGGCAGTTTCCTTGGCATCCCTGACAGCCTCCCTCAGCAGTGCGAGGTTGTCGGTGGTTCTTTGCCTTCGGAACAGTCTTCGGCACATGTTCACCCTGTGGTTGACCTCCCTGATCTCGTCGTTATAGTACCAGGCGTCCTTGTGACGCCTAGACCCGAACCGAGTTTGGGGGATGGTCAGTGAGGCTGCCTGGTTTATGGCTTCTACCAGCCTGGCTTCCAGCACATCCACATTGTCGGCTGGTGTGGATTCATTGCCTCTCAGACAGTGGGCTAAGGCGTTCTGGAATGCATGCCAGTTGGCCTTTTCTGTCTTCCATCTTGGATTCGGTCGTGGGATTTCGATTGGGCCTGCGTCCATGAGTGTGGTTACCAAGCCATAATGGTCGCTTGTGACAATCTCATCCACACACCAGCCAATCCTGTCAACCAGAGTCGCAGTGACCAGGGTGAGGTCTAGTACCCCACCGCCGACATGCGTTGGCTCTTGGTTGTTGAGGAGAGCGATCTCGGGGAACGTCTCAAGCACGTTGGCTATGTGATAACCTGCCGCATCCGGTCCCCTGCAGGGAGCTAGGATGGGATGATGTGCATTGAAGTCTCCCCCTATGACTACTCGGTCTTGTACAGCAGACGCACAGACCTGGCTGATGTCTAAGCTACTACAGCCTGGCCGGCTGTACACGTTGTACAGTTTAAGGGGGCCCCCGGCCAGTTGGATCTCTACGGCGAGAGATTCTGTCTCTTCTCCACAGTGCGGTGCATCGGCTATTGCGGAGCAGGGGATTGTTGCTTTCACAAGGGTGATCAGTCCTCTTTTGCCGGCAGTTTGAGGTAGCATAAATACGTGATACCCTGAGAAGCGAACATTATCCACCGTTAATGTCTCCTGGAGCATGACAACGTCAATGTTCCTTGACCGCACTACTGCTTGGAGCACGGCATTCCTTCCGGAAAAGCCACGTATGTTCCACTGTAGAATGCTTAGATTGTGTGCCATGATGTTACTAGTCAATAGTTACATCTGAGACCCGGTCACAAGCCATACCCAACATCGCGAAGTCCTCTTCGGTTTCTTCGTCTGAAGTCAAGTTAACCTTGGGTCCACTGGGGGTGGAGAGCCTTGGGTACTTTTGACTTTTGAAGCTTTGGCTTTTCGCTTAGACCTATCTGCAGATCTTTTGGCTGGCCGCGCCGGGGCGGGCTCAGCACATTCGGCTTCGGCTTCTGCCTCTGCAGTTTCGGCCTGTTGTGCCTGGCTTGGAGCTGGGAGGGGAGTCTCATTCTGAACTGCAGGAGCTGGTTGTGCTCGGTCCTGCTTTCTGCCTTTCAGGATAGCGACAGTTTTGGTTTTAATATTAGTATGGTGTCAGGTTCTTAGACTTACGGGTGTATCAGAGCGGTCAGGTCAACGGAAACACACCAGAGGAAACATACAGAAGGTTTATTACTACGGGCACTATTTACACTACATAAACACAACAACAGGATATTTACACAAACAACAAGGAGAGGATCCAGCGGAGCACACGAGGTCACATGGCGGAAGGGAGCACACAAGTCAAAGTCACGGGACCACTGTAGAATTTGCGACCGGTGCTCCTTTTATGCGCCGCGCCGATGTAAAGGCCGCTACCCTCGTTCCTCAACCGGTGAGCGAGCCAATCGCGAGAGACCTTGAGAGACCTAAGCCCGCCACCTGGACTGATGTAAACATCGGCGATGGTCCAGAGCAATCTCGCAGTTGTGACATATGGCTTTGCTTAAAGTGTAGTTATATATTAAGAGATTATGAGCAAGGGCCTTTATGGTCAGTTAAGAAAACTTATCCTCTAT